TTTCTATTCTATCACTTGCCTTTTCGTATGTGTTCTTTGATGAAACAGAATAATTAAATACATCAAATACGAAGAGATTTTTAAGTTTTAGCTTTCCCGGCTCTGTTATATACAGTATAACAGAGGGAAAGTATGTCGATCAGTCGAAAATGACCCTCAAGGACCCTTGAAACTTCGAAAAATGCAAAAAAAAATTGGATTTCTTTTTCTGTATGTATAGATCTTAGCGAAAGAATGTGTTTATTTGTGTGTGTTTGTTTTTTTTTGTGTGTATGGGGGCGCCATTTTGTCCATTCACTTTGATCTTTATTTTTTGATTTCCATAATTTTGCACCATGTTTTTTTTTGTCGAAAATTTATGAAATTTTGCAGGGAGATTTGTATATTTGTATATTTGAGGGGGATTGATTCTATTAAATTTTGGTGGTTAAATTCAATGGGGGTAAGGAGATAGAGGGATTATGTGTAGTATCTCGAATGGGGATCGAATTAATGAAGATTTCATAGATTTTTTAAAATAAAACTCGTCTTTACCCCTATAATTAAGCATTTTGCTATTTTAAATAGCAAGGTTGCGGCCGAAGTTTTTATCTCTCAAACGTGAACGTCGAACGTCGAGCGCCGCTTACAAGATAGCGCGCTCGACGTTCGACGTTCACGTTTTACAGATGAAAACTTCGGCCGCAACCTCTCCAATAATAATATAAAAGGTTTAAAAAAATAAAAAATATCATAACAGAAGGCGCTACACATAATTTTAACTTTTTCTCCGGGAAAGTTACGCAACTCGTTGTTGGATTTATTAAACTTGAAAAGTAGCAGTTATTACATGGAAATATTGTATATTTTCAGTTTTTTCCACTAGTGTGGGCAAGAAATCCATAAACGTTCTGTATAAATTGTTTATTATTCTTAAAAATTTCATTAAAAATATAATGAATTAAATAGTTTAGATAAATTTATTCAAATGATTTATTACAATTTACGATTTACTTTTGATAACGGAACACGTGGAGACGTCGTGATATAGTAGGCAACTTAGGCAATTGCCTAGAGCATCGAATGACGTAGGATGTCGAAATAATGCTCATTATAATGAAGAAGATAAGCAAGCAAATCATGCCTAGGGAATTCGGAAGAGATTTGTTTCAATTCAGTCATTAAAAAATTATTATAGAAGACAGGATCCACACGAGAAAAGGAAGAGGAGGCTTCACTCTTTTATTTTATTACATATCTGTAACTTGAATCCGGTGGTAATGTAGTGAAATACAGTGGAAAGATTACGTTATTCCTCTTTATGGAGATATTGGTTTACGAAACGTAATGCTTTACGAGACTGTGTACGTGACCAGAGAAGGGTAGATGAGCATGATGGATGGGATTATCACCCTAAATTCTGGGTTTTTATGAACATAGGGAGTGAAAATTCGAAGTTGGATCTCTTCTGCAGTATTTTATACTTTAATTTAATTAATGTATTTTATCGAGGAACCCTCGGCGAGGAATAAAAAAGTAGGTTTAATAGAGATTAGGAGAAAGAAAGTTGTCAGAGGAAGAATAAAAGGAGCCTGAACAGTGAACAAGGCTTGTAATTGCTTTCTATCTTGCTACATTATCCATGATGCAACACCGTGACGTCGAGAACGTTAATAGAATCCTTTCAGGGCTCACAATCGCTCTCTATGACCCTGGCAGTACTCTGTTAACATCCTCAACGTCATATTGTTGCATCACGCATATTGTAACAAGTGCCTTGTTTCCAAGTAAATAAACTATTGATAATATTGTTTCGTTGCTTTGTATCTATTTATTTCTATATGTTACAATTTTATTTAGTTTATAAAGTGCTAAATCCTGGAGTTCTAGTCCATTAAAGCTAGAAAAATAAGCCAAAAAAATATCTTTCTTAGAAGGATGTTTACCTTACTGAAGGAGTGCCATACTAGCATAATTTATCATAATTAATGAAGTAACGCAAATAATGAATTATAATTATATAGGGCAGTGTTTCCCAAAGTTTTCAGACTACCTCCTCCTTTTATTGCATATATTTCTTTAGCCTCCTTGTTTTCCAGTGCCCCTCTAATGCCCCTTATCTGACCCCCTTTAATTCTGGTACCCCCTTTAATTTTCTACCGCCCCTTGGGGACACTTCGGACATTTTTCTTCTGGGGAAAGATTTGTAAGAAAACAAAAGATTAATTTGGAGCCCTCTGTTGCTAGGTGTCCCAGCAATTGTCCATTATAGTCCTGTCGTGCGCTTACCTGTATATGGATGGATACGTACAGTACAGTACAATCTATAGCTGTAGACAAAACTGTAATTTAATTTCATCATAACTTTTGTTTCCTTAGAAACTATGACGAAAATAAATAATTGTTTTCGTGTATTCTCTCAAGTTTTATCACAATTCCGCTTAATTTTCTATAAATAACTGCCATCTTATTCATTTTATTCTCCACTTCCTCGTTTGCGTTAGTGAATGAATAGGTTTAAACAATGTAAAAATAATTCAAGACAAGTGATCAGAAATTATTTTTTAGGGAATTTATTCTGTATTTTCATGTTCTATTGATACTTTCGTTCATTCGTTTTGAAGTACAGGTCGGCTTAGTACATGAAATTCCATAGAAAAAAATTAAAAAAAAAAAAATAGTGAAAATAAATAAAAACCAGTTTAAAATGAAGTCTGCTCAAACACGTTAATGGTTCATAGAGGTCAATAAAATAAATGAAATTCGAATAAAATTAAATCCGAATTTAAATAAAACTTGGCATTATAGAAGCATAAACACCGACATAGTGGGAGAACTAGGCATATAAGAAGAGTTAAACTTAATACAAAGATAAATCCTATATAAATTATGCTTATAATTTTTAAAATGCCAAAAAGTTCTTACTTTTTAACATCCGTTATTGATAAATAATTGTAATATTTTCTCAAAATATCGATTAATATAACGAGTTTTTCCTTATGGGAGAAGGATATAAGCCACACAATTGTATAGTCAATTTAAAAAATAAATAAACCGACTGCTAAGATATTGGTATGAATATTTGATAAACTATAGGTACAGGTATGAAGAATTGGCATGATATACAAGATTTCTAAGCAAGAGAATAATTTATAAAAATTACATAATGACTACGTTGCATGCCGACCGACATGTGAGTTTTTTTTATATATAAGCACTGTAAATATTCCTAGAACTGTTTACAATCATTAATATTTACATATAAATTATAATAAGCCATTAAAAATTACTTTCTTACACGAAATTATATTTAAAATAGTAAAAAAGTGATAGAAGTTACCTTTAGGCAATTACTCTTTTGTAAGACGGTCATTGGATAATTTAAAATCGAAATTAACGGTCTGACGTAACGAACTTTTTTTTTTAAATTAAATGTATGTTGTACTAAAATAACTTCTACTAAATATTAATTTTATGAGGCAGCATGCCAGATTTTATTAACTTGAAAGAGGGGGAACAAGTGATTTTTTCCCAGCTTCGAGCCCGTAGTGGCCCATCCCTATACATTAATTTAATGCTATTTTTACTAACAGAAAATTTTTACTTTTTATTAATAAAGGAACATTCTATGTATTTTATTTACTCATAAAACTGGAAATTGGTGCCAAATGAAGCGCAAAATGGGCCCGGTTCAAACATAGAGGAATACCGTACAAACTATCGAAGGACGTAAAGTTTAAGTCGTTTCGTAGTCATTATATTATCGGTAAATTTCTAAAACTCACATTTAGTGGGTAAAATGTTTAGTTATTTTTTGTGTGATTTCAGTTTTCTCATTATCGATCATATGTATACATATTGATAATCTTGAATAAGTTATCTTGTAATAAATGGAATTTTATTTCATTCGACAATCACGTGCGTTTCGTCACGTGGATTTCGATTGACGTAAAATTTCAAGGACATCTTGTTTACAGGAAAAAAAAGAAACAGTAAACTTTGAACATCTTTTTGAATTTTGACAGTTTCTTAGAAGATAGAAGCCACAAAGATCAAAACCCCTAACTTCTAATTCAATTACATTAATGAATGGGTTAATCAACGAATCTATCAGCAGGAAATTGGTTTAGATTTTGCATATAAGAATTTTACTAAACATAATTTTTGTTTATAATTCTTTAAATTTGTTTAGATCTATGTTTACATCTTGATTGACGTCATACGATTTGTTAACTGTTAATAAATATATATATATAAAAGAAATAATAAAAATAATATTTCACAAATTTTCGATACTACGTCTAAATATAACGGTTAAAAATTTTATTATTAATGGGGGGAAAAACTTGCAAAACCTCATAAATAACGCAATTTTAAAAAAGTTAGCCAATCAGCGAAGCAATAGATTCAAATTTTAAATATTTGAATCTATTATCCGTCCGATTGGCTAATTTTGAATTACGTATTTTACGTTTATTGGCTAATTAATTTATGCTTATTGGTTGATTTTGAATTTACTGTTTTGTAAGACTGTTATTGGAGGATTTAAAATCAAAATTAACTGTCTGACGTAAAACACTTTTTAAAGCAGAAAACAATATAATGAAAGTAATTAATAATATTTTTGTTTATTAAGAATAATATNCCACAGCACTGGCGAAAATTTAAATTTGCCGACTGGAATTCTTTCAGATGATTGACGTTTCGGATGATTGACTTTTGGAAAATCGACACTCTACTGTAATTGAAAGCATTGTTAAAAATTACTGGAAGTGAAAGCACTTTTATTTATAGTATTTTGAAAAGTGAAATGTTTCTTAGTAACTAATTGTACATTCTTTTACATGTACTTTTGTAAGACATTAGAATCTACAATAAAGCATTGAAAAATTACACAAGTCTTTAAGACTTGTATAAGGCTGTAGATCTAATATTTTCTTTCACATTTTTAAAAACCCTTAAAGCACTGTACTTACAGCATAATATCTGAATAGTAATTCTAAACATACAAGTAAATATGATTATAATAAATATATAATTAGCCTGACCTTGTGAAGAATCATATTTTAATGCCGTTGAGCTTTGTAAAATTTTGTATAGCTTATAACATAGCTTTTGTATATATCTTGTATATAAATTATCGTGTATAACAGAATTTCCTCATTCTAAACAAAATGAGGCAAATCATTTCGTAGTAAAAATACTTCAGTTCATAAAATATTTTGCAATCAATTTGTTGCAATGGTGTAGTAATTATTCGAATTTACGATTCCATACGTCAAATGATTTACATTTATCTAATACGGATGCTTTAAACTTTATACATTATTTAAATTACATAACAGGAAAGTTATACCACAATTTAAAATCATTATTTACATACAGGTCCTCTCAGAAGTTTCTCTCGCATCTTTCTCAATACTGTAGGCCTTTAAAACATAGAGAGAGGCCTACAATATAGAGAAAGCTGTGTTAAAAATTGTACCATTGTTTTTAAATAGCGGGATTTGACTATAAAGGGCTTTATTAATACACAAAATATTGTAATGGAATGAATAAATTGGAAAAAATATTGGTGAGGCCCATTCCATACATTCCATTGTTCTTCTATGATGGAATCTGTTTACATGTTTCTATCATAAGCTAAAACAGTTTGTAATTGAACTCTCTGTTGTTGAGTTTTAGTCTCTTCTTTAATATCAATCGTAATTCGTGAATAATTGGAGAATATTTTATACTGAAGAGCACTGATTGGAGCTTCGATCAAAACATAACCAATAGTTGCAGTCAGAGTCAGCATGACCAAGTGACCAAAAACTTCATACATCTATAATATAAAATGTGAATTTAATAAAATAATTGTTAACCGATTAGGAATAGTTTAACATATACTAACCATATTATATTTACTGTATACATATGAACTTTGCATAAGTCCGTAGCGTATTAGAATGATATATTCGATCAAAAATAAACTTAGATGGCTGATACGGCTAAGAGGAATGAATATTCTAAAGGAGAGAATCTTGTTAATAACACCTAAAAATAAACAAATAACTTGTGTTTAATTGTTTTTATTAAAATTATATTTATAATAGTAAAAGATATATCTCACTAGAATGATTTGTGATGCAGTAAAATGAAATCCATGCCAGAGCTGTAGACCATAATATGCGATGGAAGGAACTTGTAAACATGCTTTCTATTACGATGGGTTCGTTGCGATGATGGCTCACGTAAGGATAAAGCAAGACTATCAGGCATAAAATCACAGCTATACACCAACCAATTGTATGATATAACTAGACGTAAATAGAAAAAGAGACAGTATGAAATACAGTAATTTAATTTAATGACAACATTTAATTTTTTTAATTGTTAATTAAATTTTAAGCTTCACTTGATAAGATATTTCTTCCTAATTCAGGAGAATAAGGTTAGATTAATTAGTGTTAAACGTAAAGCCACGAACCCTGTGGGTACTAAGAAAGCCTGTCACAAATTTGGCCAAGCCCGCAAGCGACCGACCAAGCAGTAAAGAATAAGGCTCAATATTTTCGAGATACTGCACTCATGAGAATTTCTGGAGAAATGATCTGTACCCAAACCCGGATCTCTTGGAATTGTAGAATTCACCTTAGTAGCCATGGCCACTTGCCGTCGGGTTTTACTTCATTCCTTATCAATTACTCAACGGTGACATAGCAATAATCAAAATTAAGGGAAACCATTTACTATAAATTAATACCTAGAAAAACATCTAGCCAATTAACTCTAAAATATCTATTATCGTTTCTATCTTAATCTTCTATTCTCAATTTAATTCAAATAACATCAATAACAATGAAAATTTGGCAGGTTAATGGGTTTAACATCTGTTTATAGTTTAACCTTATTCAATTTATTATATGAATTAAATATACAAGAAAATGGATTGGATTTAATTAATAAAATAAAGCAACGCAACACTTTGGGCGTTCTACCAAAGATGAATGCCTCCTGGCAGGAATTACTTTGGAAAATTGGCCCTATTTAAATTATTAAACACGTGGAGAACCGGAAAATTCCTCGTGGGTCTTAAGGATCTCACACTTATGCTCATGATTTAAAGAATTGTGCTACTACAAGGAAAATATATAAAAATACTAATAAACTTAATGAAAACGGATAGAAATTTTATGTAAATACTCGTATTTCATACAGTATTTTCGAGTTTTAAAATCAGGCTATTGGTGTCCTGACTTTTGTAATAGTAATAATTACTAAAATAAATTTAAATTGTTATATTCTGAAGACTAAACATAAATAATTTAAGTATTTGTTATGTCAGTTTTATCTAGATTGTTCTGCTATGTTCCCACGCATCCGCCATATTGGGAAAATGCATCAGTCCCAATATGGCTGATGCATTGGGAACATCGATGGACACACCACCTTATGTTATGATCTTAGATTTTGGTTTCAGTCACTCGGGCAAGCATGAATGAACTGAATAAGAATGCAAATATTTTCATTATCACAAATTTCGATGCCTTAAATTTATACAAACCTTTTGTATTTTTACGTGGTTGTACTTTGTAAGAAGATATCCAGTACAAATTCCAATACAATAAGGGCCTAGATGCGTGTAAGTCTGTAAGGAAACGTATTCAAATAGCGTCTTTTGAAATCTGCAAAAATAAATTCTATATTGTAACTATCGTAATATACTGAATCACGGTTACAAAATCAGGGCCGGCTCAGTCTTCGTTTTTTCGGGCATCAAACCGAGACTTCGCACTAAGGGGGGGTTCCACTTTTAAATTTCTAAGAAGTTTTGATATGGAAAATATTTCGATTAAATTTATATTGATTATTTTTTGTTGTTTTATCATTGCCGGAAAATATGGGGCCCCACATTACCGGTACTTCAAGTATTCTGGGGCCACATTGATAACTTTTCCCGAAGTTCCAGCCCGCAAAACTCCAGCCGACCCAGCAAAATCATTTGAAATGAAAAATTTCTGTGTTCCAAAATAATAATTTAATATAGTTCGAACAATTTACTTACTCGGATTCGTATAATTTGGTATACGTGATATGTAGTTCTTGTGAAAAAGTGAAGTAAGCAATGCATCCAATGGACGTTACGATTAATGCAAGAAGAAGTGTTATTCCAAACTTCATCCATCTGTATAAATTAAATAAAGATTTAGCATTATTTTAAAAAATAAAAACAAAAGTAATCATTATTCAACGTGCGTAAGAGGTACGTTTTTTCTTTGTGGTTCTTTCTGCCCTGTGGGAATGAAAAAGCATTTTTTCTTCTACACCCATCATGGGGTTAGAACCCACCCATCAGCTAGGCTCACAAAGATGGTGAGAAAAGAAGCCTGACATATCCGGGGACAGACTGCCCATGAAAAATTGCTGGGAATTTTCATAAGCAACACTTACACACGTTGAATATTGATTGTACGAGTACGTAGCTTGTGAAATAAAACAATTACAATGAAAGTCAAGGACGACCAAAGCCCAAAGGAGTAGAAGTCTCTTAGAAGTCTCTATATAGGATTGCCGTATGTACTGTACAAACCAGTAATCGGGACGTTATGAAGTAGCATTGTGTTAAAAATTTATGGATATCTATTTTTAGGTATCCATTAATTTTTAACACAACGCTAACCTGCTCCATTGTGAATCTGGCCGAATCTATGAGGAACATGATTAAATGTAAATGTTCTCTTAGTGCCCACAGAGCAAAAAGAGCAAAAAAATTAGAAAAAATCCAGACTACGGAGATGTAACCGTTGAGCCATCGTTAATTATTGCATGAAACAATCAATGGTTTCGTGCAATCACAATACACAGAACACGACGCGTATATCGAAGATTACTAAAGGCGCGCGTACGTGAGATAGTGATAACAATGGCGCAAGCATACATGACACCTATCGCCTACAATTTTTATTTTACTTTGTTTTAAATACAAAGCGAAATGCATTTTTTGGTAAAAAAAGAATAATAATAAATAAATAAATCGGGGCATTTAAAGAAAAATTGAGTAGAACAAATCTTTTTAGTGGTGACCCTCTAACTACAGCCTGGTCTAATCCTAGAGATCGATTAACACGAGATGCATTGTTTTGTCTGAATAATATGCACTTTTACAAATCAAATTAACATCATTATTGCATTTTTTCTTAAGAAAACTGCATAAATGGCACCAAATTAACGTAATGGTGTACAATATTCGAAAAAAAACGAATAAATAATGAAAGAGGTCCGATTCATGCTACCCAAAAGCAGCAGCCTGTTCTGGGAAACCAGTGATTAAATCAGAACGGGTCGAAAAACCACAAGAATTTTTCGGGGGTGATCCGTCTGGATAAATGGGCCTTGTCTCTTACAATGGGTTCTGTCGTCCCATTGTGAGTCTGGGCAGAACCGTAACGGGCTTGCTTTTTAGCAAGTCGTTATGAGTTCGGCCCTCCGCCCGAGGGCTCTCTTAGTGTTCTCAGGGAGGAGAGCGTTAAAAATAACCATAAAAACCATTAATTAGCGCTTGACAATTCTAACAAAAATTCTGATAATTATTTATTTACAATATTTACATTGAACAACAACAACAACTCTTCGGAAAAATGGGCGAAATTTATAGTTAATTTTGCCTATTAATTTACTATATTCATCATCAAATGACTGTTGTTTATCCTGATCGTCCTTGACGTTTCATTCTTACATATAGAAAAGAAGATCGTACTGTTCTAATTATAATGTCGAGGATGAAATTTACATAAATGAATCTTAGAATTTCTATAATTTAATGCTAATATCCTTCAGGATATTAGCATATTCTGTTTAGTATTTTACATAAAAATAAACCGATACAGGCCCTGATCTAATTTAAGCACTTTTAAGGCCCGTCCCAATTTCTACTGAGGCATTATAAATACACAGGTATAGAACAAAAGTATTAGTAATGAGCAGCGAATGAGGCCCTAAGAAGGCGACACCTCCAGTCTTGGCTGGATGTGCTCGGACGTTAATGGTATGAGCATATCCAGCTTTATAAAAGAAATAAAAATATTTTATTATTATTTATGTATTTTAAATTCTAAAGATTTAAGTGTTTGCATTAATGTTATGAATAATAATTACTATTATATAATAGTTCGTTTATAAATATATGAATTACCATTTCTTCAATAAATGGAAATTCCATAAGTAAGATTTACGTCAATTTCTAAGGATAAAGGATAATTTAATAAGTATTTCTTCGTATATCAATTGATATAGAAAGGGGTGGCCGAGTGGTTAAGGTGGCAACCTATCGCTCCGAGATCCGGGATCGAAACCGGAATAGTCAAAAGTCCCAGGAATTTTTCGGGTGGGGGCCAGTAATCGGTTCGGATCTGTCGGGCCTCGCCCTCGCTCTTCACAACTCCTTACGTGTTTGGCCAGGCCTTCATCCAGTGTGGGTCTGCTCAAACACGTTAATGGTTCATAGAGGTCTTTATGACTTTTCATAAAGATACGAATGGAGTACGAATAGTTGACAGCAGGTTAAAAAAGCAATTTGTTATGTCAATATCCACGATTTCTTAACTAGAATGACTTATAATTCCATATAAGTGCGAAAAATAGCTTATTGTAAAATTACTTTCGAAATATCGAAAGTCATTTATTAAGTTTTTAACCTCTATTTATACGTTAAACAGAAGACCAGCCTGTTGGAGAGGAACGAACCCACGACCAGTGCTCATTGGTTTTATGGTCATTTATATTAATGAATGTATTATTGCATTACTAATTAATGAACTTGAGGCATTTTAACTGTTGTATATTTATTATTTCGTTAAGAAACTCAAGAGTTATTTACTATTCTAGAAATATTTTTCTATTATTTATCAGATGTGCATATTTTATCATCATTTCTAAATTTATATCGCAACTATCCGACACACGAAGACTTGCTTCATTAGCTCATTTGCATACTTAACCGATTGGAAATTCTATCAATTCACGATTACGAACGGAATTTTTGCCTTTTTAATATTTACAATAGGCACATTGTATCGATAAATGTAAATGACTTCTATTCTATTGTTTTGCATGTCATGCTTTACACAGCAGCATTAATCTTTGTCAAAGAATCTATCATTAAGTCAGTCGTTGAACTGAACTTCTCCTTTTAATTCTGTTTATTTCGTTATTATTGTTTTGTCTAATTAATTTTATTGACTTAAATTTAGTAAAAAAAGAATATAAATTTCCTACAGTTTCAGTTCTAATGGATACAAATTGATAGCTTCGTGAGAATTTGGCCATTCGGCTGTGGTCGAGTAAATGAAACTACTGAACACTGGTAGTTGTTTGTGGGGTCATGCCTCGCCACGTAGCATTTTCCGGGTTTATTTCACGTTAGTAACACCTAAATAGGGGGCCAGTTTTCCATGGGAAAACTCTCGGGAGTCAACGCCCACGTGTTATGTTGCCACGAACAAACATAAAACAGTGAACATTGATAATTGGGTCGCGGTTTGAGCCTGACCACATGGAGTTTTCCGGGTTTCTTCACGTGCCTAAAACCTAAATAGAGCCAGTTTCCTGTAGAAAGTACTCCTGGGGGGACTTTCTATTGCAATGCAACGCATGGGCGATCTGACAAGCGAGTGTGAGGAGTTTCAATCCGAAATGGCCTCCGTTTAGATGTTAGACACGTGAAAAACTCCGGAAAATTCACGCGCTCATCCCGTTGATCAGATAAGTAACAACTAGTGCTCAGTTTTCACTACTTTTACCTACTGATGGGCCTATAAACCAGGGGTTCTTGACCTATGTCTTGTCGACCCTTCATAGAATCAAATTTAATACTCCGACTCCTTTCTACACTGATATAAAGTAAGAATAAATTACAAACAGGATAAAATAAAATAAAAAAGTCAAAGATACATCAATACATCAAGATATTTTTATTATACATAGAAGTTTTTCCACCGATTTCTTGTGGGTTTCTACGGGGATTTCCCGTATCTAAACGGCCTTTATATTGTTATTAATTATTTTTAGACAAATAATAGTGTTATGCAACGTAAATTATTTTACTCAAACACGAACTTTTCCTTCTTTTAGTACAGCAATTTTACTACAAAATAGGACCTTACCTGAGAGATATAATGACGAAAAGGGATATGAGATGTAATTGGAAAATTGTACTTGAATAATGAAAAGCATATATACACTATAAAAGAAAAAAAATAAAGTTAAATTTAAGTGTTAATTTAGTAAAATTAGCATTTACAGAATAATCACTTACCATATTGTTGTAATTCATCCAATTGCTGATGAACAGTGGATACATCCACCACGAATCTTTACAGTGTTCTACTTTCTTTTCTACTACATCGTGCCATAGAGGGCCCGAACCAAACAATGGCACAATCGTGATAAAACATAGTGTAATTAATACTAATACGGTTAACCTAAAACACAAAGAAGGTAGCCCAATTAGAATTTTTGTTTAGCTTCTTTGTAATGATCCCTTGTAATGTACTGTACCTCAAATATCTTTGTAAAATAAACAATATGAAATTGAACTTCTTCTCTTCGAGGCTCTTTAGGGCGAAATATGCAGTTAAAAGGCCACTAATTAATAAGTAAACATAGTAAGATACAGTGATAAGGTGAAAAGTACTTAAAATTACATGAAAAATAAAATGACAAAGAACAAAAAAGTAAAACATTTTTTTTTTTTACTATCCTATTCAGTTGGAAAGAGTCCCGAGGGTCATGCAGCCTTTACTACCTTGCCCAGGGGCCTGGTTTCGTACCGAAGTATAATCAAGGGGCCCTACCCCCTGGTTATACAACTGAAAAAAGTATATCACCAAAATTTCATTGCAATATATATACGTTTTTATAAACTGTCCCTTCCCCGTGGGCACTAAGAAGGTGTCTTTTCAGCAAGCCCATTCTGTATTCGGCCAGGGTTACAATGGGGGATAGGACAGAGAGGGACGGGGCTGACGTACAATATATCGGAATGGACAAACCCCAAAAAGTTTCTGGAGTTTTTCGACCGATTCTGGGTCTCTCAGAGCGGTAGGCTGACATCTTAACCGCCAGGCCATCCAGAAATCACATGTATATGCTTACAGATAACACTTAATTATCCTGTATTTATATGTAATTAATTGTTACCTCTACCAGTATTTATCTATATTATTTCTTATAAAATATATAAATCTTACCTCAAGAAATAAAAAGTATTAAATCCAGTTCTAGAAGATTGAACAAGTTGGAAATACAACTGGTTACTATCTGATTCCAAATTCAACATTTTTTCTATAAGAAAATAGAAATAGCTTTATAATTAATCTGTTATTTAATTATATTGTTTATATTATATATTTACTTACGCATGTATTCTGGCTCGTAATAGCGATACGTTAAACCTATTGTTAACCATATAATGGTTATAAAATGAAAACCGTGTAGAGATGAAAAACTTGCTATCGACGGCTCTCCAAATAATGTCTTAATACTTCTTTTTATAGAAAAACACATTATAATATCTTGAATTTTACCTGAAATATTTAAAAACTTTTATTGAATAAATAAGGATTTAACCCCCTTCCAAAAATATCCACCTGTAAACGGCACTCCTTCTTAAGGAACTGCTCTTTGTAACAGAAATATAAAGAAGAGCCTTTAAACTACGGCCATTTTATGTTCCCATCAGTGGCCGTTGTTCAGAGGTTTGATTATATTTATATGTCCTTTTCGAGGGATTGGATTAGACTAATAAAATAAGTCAGCGCAACACTTGGGCGATCAGGGCCCACCAGTGGCCAAGCGGTGGGCCCTGAATACTGGGGCTCCTCACTGACCATGTGAAATTTTCCATGTGAACACTTAAATAAGGGTAACTTTCCCAATGTTCTCATGGGAGCACCCCTCTTGGCAGATTGCCCACGTGTCGTGTTACTGTAACCAAATAAACCAAGCCTTAACGAACATAATGACCTTGCTAAAAAAAGGCCCTCTCAGTGCCCACAAAGCAAAGAGTTTTTCCTTTTTAAATTGTATACGTCAAATTTTATTAAAAATATCATTTAAATTTAATTGTTATGACGTATTGGAACCGAGTGAATTCAAAGAAATCAATTTAAAATGGGACTTTTTGAAAAGGACCTACTGACTCATTTTATAAAGAAACTAGTTTATGTTTATTTTAAACTCATTTACGTAATATAAATTACTGTATAATGAAAATAAAAACAATAATACGATAAACGCCACATGTAATATTAATAAGGGGAGATCCGCCAAGGAGAAGGACAATCGATGGGAAACTGTCCCCTATTAAGGTGTGACACGTGAAATAAACCATTAGTCAGGCACGAATCCACTAGTGTTCAGTGGTTTTATCAATTTAGTCACTAGTGGGCTTTCAGGTTCTCCCAAAAGTCCCTCGTTTATGGTTAAGAAATAATAGATTGTATATATTAATAAATCAGGGACATCCAAGGGGCAACATAAAATTGGGAAAGCAAGTCAAGCTTCGATTGAATAGTTATATAAGAGACACCCAGGATAGGAAAAGGAGCAAAATGCCCTTGGTCTTGAGAAGTAGGGCACTATATTTTTTTCGTTTATTTCCTTTATTTCAATATGTTAATTCAATTTAGAGGCCCCAATATCAGTGGCGTGCCGTGACATTTGATGATAGGGAAGCCGTGTTTCTGTAAGCCGTAATTACCGTATATAATTATTATTATTATAATGTATAATTACGGCTAATAGAATATAATTACCGTATATTCTATTAGCCGTAATTACCTTGTTATAATTTTCAATACAGGATTGTCTCGAAAACTCGCCACTCGATAACCCGGCAGTCCGGATAACTCGGCCACACCCTGGCAGGGAGAGAAAACCCCTAGTTAATTTTTATTATAGACAGATTTATGCCTCATAAAGTATTTTTCTGAGGTCTGTCTTATCAGATAAATTACTGTACACTGTGTATTCATTAATTTTCATTTTCATGTAGTAAAGGCTCTATGCCTTCATAAAGGACGTACTTTTCCTTTGTTTAAGGGTATTTGGGCAGTTTATTCTCTGTTGTATTCTCAAGTAAACAATACATACAAGTACAGTACAG